GAGGAAAACCATGGTCTTCCTGACTCAAATACTCTATTATAGTACTGAGGACACTGGAACACTCTATTATAGTATTGGAGGCCACTGTAACACTGTAGTATAATGTTGGAGGCCCCTGTAACACTGTACCATACTATTGGAGGCCACTGGAACACTCTATTATAGTATTGAGACCACTGTAATACACTATTATAGTACTGAGACCACTAAAATAGTCTATTATAGTATTAGAGGCCACTCTATAGTGGTCTCTAACCACTCTGTTACACAGTCTCTACATATGTTATAGGTATACGCATGTATAACACACATACACAAACACACATATCCATATAACCTAATACTGTATACAGTTTTATTCAGTAACAATGATCACTCCTAAACTACTCAGTAGTTGAGGTAAAAAAAATCTCCCCAACAGAAAGATGTCTACAAGAAAATTTTTCCTTGTGGGAGAAAAGAACTCAATTAAGAGTATGTGTGTAGACGGTCATGATACCAAAGAGGATAGCAGGAATATACTCAGAATTTGTACTGGAAGGGATCTCAAACCAGAGCAAGAAGTTTAGAGCTCTGTCTATGGGATGTGATTAACTTTCTGAGTACAAACTCTACCCTGACCCACCAGGTCCCGTATGATATGGCCACAGCCAATCCTCCATCTTTGCTTCCCCTTTTTCCCTATTCCTCCCTCAGATCCACTGGCCCTCCTTCCTTTCCTCAGGCACATCCAGCTTATTTCTGCCCTTTGGCACATTTAGACATTCTCTGCATGGAAACGCTGGCCCACATCTGCACATGGAGGCTGCTTCATGTCCTACTGTCTCACCTCTTCAGTGAGGCTTCTGGGATCCTCCATCCAAAAGTAGTCCCTGTATCAGCTCTTTCACATCATCCAGTTTTACTTTCTGACATTATCTGATTTGTGAATGTCTATATTTGCTTATTTTCTGTCTTTATTCCCTCCTTTGAGGAAAATCTCCTTGATAGAGTAGACTTTATTATCATATTCAGTCTGTTGATCTTATAGCAGCCAGACCATCCAGTCAGTGAATGGGAGGATGCAATCAGAAATAAAAGAATGTGGGCATTTCATTATTAAACTAATATTTCATTTTTAGCCACAGGGAAAGTATTACTGTATTCTAATCATGGGAGGTAAGTTTAGAACCTCATGAGTATTGATAAATATCTTTTTTTTTTTTTTTTTTGGGTATGGTATGCGGGCCTCTCACTGTTGTGGCCTCTCCCGTTGCGGAGCACAGGCTGCGGACGCGCAGCTTCCATTATTACTTCCTCCAATCACTGTCTACAGTGAAGCTAAAGTGATACTTTTTTTTTTTGTGGTACGCTGGCCTCTCACTGCCGTGGCCTCTCCCGCTGCGGAGCACAGGCTCCAGACGCGCAGGCTCAGCGGCCATGGCTCACGGGCCCAGCCGCTCCGCGGCATGTGGGATCTTCTCGGACCGGGGCATGAATCCATGGTTCCCTGCATCGGCAGGCGGACTCCCCACCACTGCGCCACCAGGGAAGCCCGATAAATATCTTTTTTTTATACTGCCCCTAAGGGACGCCTAACAAATGTCTTTCAAACATGTGAAAAGATTAAATAAACAAGTTTTTTTCCTGAGTGTTTCTCTTCTCTTCTATTTAGTTAACATTCTCCACCTTACCGACAATTAAATATCAGAGGCAATCTGACAGACATAGGCACACAGGCTCTGGGAGCAAACTGAATAAAGTTTGAGTCCCAATGCTGTCATTGAATGATTCTGGATTAACTGTTTACCTTCTCAGAGTCTGTTTCCTCATATGCAAGTAAAATGGAAATTATATAATTTTCAGAGGTTATTCTGATAATATCCATCAAGTACCTATCACAACAGCTGGCACATATTTAGCGTTCAACAAACGAAAGCTATCTTTATCATTACTGAACTTAAATATAGGTAGGTGAGCCCATCCCTTATAACTCTGATTTTTCATTTGCCTCTTCTCTTTCATTTATTTTGCACACAAAAAATCATAATCTATCTTTTGCCTGATTTATTTACATAGTTTATGTAGATCAGTAGGACTACTGACACACATGATATTAGTTGGAAAATTAGCTTATAATTCCTTAGCTCATGGTCCTTCCTCTATCTTCAAAGCCAGCAACACAGCATCTTTGAAACCCTCTCTGACTCTGACTCACCTGCTTCCCTCATTCACTCATAAGGATCTTTGTGATTATACTGGCCCATCTGGATAATCCAGAATAATTTCCCCATCTGTAGGTCAGATGATTAACAACCTTATTTCCATATGTAGCCTTGATTCCTTCTTTCCATATGATACAACATATTGACAGGTTCCAGAGATTAGGGGGAAGGTCTCTTTGGGGGCCCATTATTCTACCCACTACAAAGGGCCAGGCTTGCAAACTGAAGGAGAGGGCAACAAGCTGAGTCTGGCATTCTCTGGCCCTGTCCGCATCAAAGCAATAGTTGATTCAGCGGCCAAGAGGCTACAAAACCAAGCATAAAGTGGTAGTTAAGAGACTGGAAACTTGAATGGCGCTTTGGGAGACAAAAAGTACAGATTTAAAGTCACTCAATTCCAGACTTGATAAAGGTGCTTGCCTCTATTCTAACTGCCTGACAGAAGCAAAGCAAAATCTCTTTGAAGGTAAATATCATCAGCCAAAAACTCAAACTATCTCCATAATTTTACCTGTTCAATGTCTGACATTCAACTGAAAATTTCTAAGCATTATCAGGAAAAATTACCAAATTACCATATAAAAAAAGAATAAATAAATCTCATGAACACAAAGCTAAGCAAATATACCACACAGGAAAGAGTACATACTGAATATGTCCGTTTATAAAAATTCAAAAACTTGCAAAAGTAATCTAGGCTGTTAGAAGTCAGGACAGTGGTTACTTTGGGGAGGAGGGGAGTAGTGACTATGAGGCGGGGAGGGAGGGGCACTGGTTCTATTCTATTTCTTTATTTAGGTAACAGTCACAGGGGTATGTTCACTTTGTGAAAATTCATTTACCTGTATATTTGTGACTTGTTCACTTTTCCATATTATGTTATAACTCAGTAAGTTTTGTTTTTAAGTAACAAAGTAGAATCAACCTTATATTACACTGTTAAAATTATGCAAAAACCTGTACCTGTGAACATATGAATCAATTAAAATGCAATTTCAGATGTTGAAATTGTGGAATTTTTTTCTTTTTCTCTTTTTTAAAAATATTTGAATTGCTATATAAGTTGTGTTACTTAAAAAGAGACAAATAAACAACAAGATTAAGTCCAGATTATTTTCTGCAACTGAAGAGCCTCCACTTGTCCAGGAATTTCAATATTTTGGAATCTGTCTTCAGAGTTAACTATTTATTGTGGTCCCCAATTCAATACCAGATTCAAGATCGCTCAAGTTTACAGAAGCAGATGGGGCTGACAAGGCACTTCCCATCCTCTCTTGAGATCTCTCTGCATGTAAACAGACACTTCTTTCTGTCCTTCCCTGTCCCATTTTCAGACTTCATATGTATACTGCCAGAACTGCTCCTGCTCTGAGACATTTAGTTTGCCATTCCACCAGTAGTTAATTCTTTGGTATAATTTATCTCGATTTAGAAACTGTAACGTTATAACTTTTCAAAATTTACCTTCACTTGAGCCCAGAAATATGTCTCTCAACTGTTTCCGTTGTCCAAGGTAGTTAATATTTTGTGTAATATTTAAATTTGTTATATTTCATGTTATTTAATGGTTAGAATGACCGGGGTATGGTAGGAAGACTACCTTTTCACATTAGAATATCCGTAATTTCTGCTGGAACTATCAGTTTTTGTTTTTTTTTTTTAAAGAAACCTTTTATTTTATTTTATTTTGCGGTATGCGGGCCTCTCACTGTTGTGGCCTCTCCTGTTGCGGAGCACAGGCTCGGGACGCGCAGGCTCAGCGGCCATGGCTCACAGCCCCAGCTGCTCCGCGGCATGTGGGATCTTCCCGGACCGGGGCACGAACCCGTGTCCCCTGCATCGGCAGGCGGACTCTCAACCACTGCGCCACCAGGGAAGCCCTGGAACTATCATTTTTTTAAACATAAATGAGTAATTCAGGTGATAACCCAGTGACCCCTGATAAAATACTTTGTGATCTCATTTACAGTCCCAAAGCAAAGTACTTTTAAAGTAGTATTCCTATGATTAATTTCTGTTTGGAGCATGGATTTGCCTAAAGGAAAACTCAAGCATTAGAAAGCTATTCTTCCAAATACTTGGAGGTACAGAATTGAGGTCCCAGTGTTACCTCACATAAAAAATTGGGGAATAAAATCAAGTCTAGAAGAATAAATTTTTCCTCTTGAGACTAACTAAGCAAAACTAAGGGGCTTTCTTAATTTCTCCAGAAACTCTGGAGGTAAACAGTGTAATCATCGTGTAAACATTAAGGAAGTCCTATTCATCTTCAAGGAGCTGAGACCTACAAGCTGGAGGAGCAGTGGACAGGCTTGGCCAGAGTAACATCTGACTCCTAAAGGAGAGGTCACAGTAGGGCATCAGATAGATTTTTGTCCTGGGCCTCCACGTGTAATACATGAATGTGATCATAGGTTTGCCAGAGCAGATTACATTGAACCTTCCTCATGTAATTTGTTCACACTCTCTTTTGTTCCCCAAATAGACTAATTCTCTCATTAATGATTCACCTTTTAGGGTTGAGTATTATCCTTTTTGTAATCTTTTAAGTTGTCACCTTAGCTCTTAAATAATACCTACGCTATTGTCTGTCAACTTTTGTCTTAAACATTGAGTATTTGTATTTTAATATGAACTCAGACCACCCTTCCCTGTGGAAAGGAGGGCAAGAGAAGACACCTTTTTGTTGTTGTATGACTTTGCTTAAGGCTGACCATGTCTTATGGGTATTCGGGCTTTCGTTTCAATCTCATCATCCCATTCTTACAACCTGTGTGCCGGGAAGCATTTTCATACCTGACAGAAGCTATCCACTTGCCGTACATAACCAGCCACTTCAGGATCAGATTTAAGGACCTTCCAAACTTTTCTTTCTGCCTTCTTATAATCCTGGTATCCTTTCCAGTTCATGGCCATCAAGGAGCGCTCTGTCAGGGGAGCTGCCACGATGATGTCCAGTTGGCCATTGTAGATTAGAACCTGAAACGAAACTGAGCCGTGGGCAAATGCAGGATTCAGCAGGGGAAGCCAGTCAATATATCTAGGTACAGATAGTGCACACAAGAGAGAAAAGGGAATGTTAGCTGCTCTGGGGCGCTGCTCAGAGATGCCAACCCAAGAACTCAGTAGGATCACTTTCTTCCAGTTGGCTACATACACCAACAACCTGAAATAAACTCAAGCCTTGTCTCAACCACTGCATTCTTCCAAAAGTTTGATTCTTCATAGGAATCTGCATACATCTCTCTTGTTGCAAAAGCATTTGTGCTGTATTACCCAGCAATATAGGTTTTACTTGGATGTATGGCTATGTTAAGGAAGAAGACTGTGGTTACAGTTCAGTGGAACTAAGGAATGGTACACACTGGGATTGTCATGAAGCCTGTATTTGATTATTTTCACTTTTCAGGTCCTGCAGCAGCTGGCAAGCTGGGCATTCCCTCGTGGCTGCTGGTAATCCATGTTGCTTTCCCCTCCTACATTTCAGTGACAACTATAATTTTTTGAGGCAGACAGATAGATGCAGGTGCCTCAAATTTGTCATTTGTTGGAGGCAACCATGTCTGCTATGCCACTTCCAAAGACCTCCTTTCTTAAATAGGATAGCCATTTGTCAAAAATGAGGAATGTCCTTCAAAATGCCTAAGATACATTTTTTTTAGCTAAGTTGATGGGTACTATAGGAGAAACTCTGAGGCAACTCTGGTCTTTTCTTCCCAAACAGCTTTCAAGATATTCAGATAATACCCAATGATGCTGAAGTTGTGAAGCTACTGGGGACAGTGTGAATGGCATTACTCTTCAGGAAAGCAACCATCATTTTTTAATGCAAAGACTTTATAATGTTGAGACTTTGTCCCAGTAATCCCAGTTTGTGGAATAAACTCTATGAAAATGAGCCCAAAGAAATAAAAAATATATATATTTAACAATATTCACTGAAACTTTATAATGACAAATTTGAACACAGTCTAAAAGTTCCATATTAGTGAGTGGTTAAATAACCACGGTACAGAAATTCTATGGGATATTGCAAAGCCATTTAAACTGTTGGACTACAAAGTTGTCACCTCATTCTCCTTAAGTCCAGCCTCTTTCTCCTGAACTCAGGGAGATGGCTATCTTAAGCTTGTGTTCCTCATGCCATTTTTCATTCCAGAAGTGCACATTATGGGGCTCACTGCCCTGCTCTTTGGATCTGTGCTCTTTACTGCCTGTTGATAAAGTCTGAAAATTATTGCCTCATATAATATGTCCATCTTATATCTGTTTATAGTGTAAGTGCAAACTCAGTGGATGATAATGCCAGAAGAAGAATTCTGATTTTAAAAAAATTGTTCATCATCAGCTTTCTCACAAAATAGTTGTGGTTCATTTATTCTCTGTAAGTAAAAAAATTTTTTTTTTCTGGTAAAAATAAATAAATAAACTGTTGGACTAAACCATGAAGCAATGTGGAAAATGCTTATCACATAATGTTAAGTATGAAAGCTGAATGCCAAATATATATCCCAATTATGATATATAAAATTGACATACTTATTTACATATATGGAATGAAACTTAAAAAAAAAAAAGGAATAGAGTTGATTAATTTTGGTGGTGGAAATCTGAGTAATTTTCCCCTCTGTTTTCTACTCTCCTTAGGCTATTTTTCACACTTGTTGATTCTCATAAGGTATTGTCACTCCACCACCAACAAAGAGATTTTCCTCAACTCCATGCTACCTTTGATCTATTTGGAAGCTCTGGTTTGACTCAAGTGAAGACCTTCGGTTGAATCCTCAAACTGGATATAAAATGTTTCACTGCATGTTTCCATCTCTGCCCTCCTGGCACAGGCTTCTTAAAAGGCTTATACATAATTAAAAAGCCCAGGACTTTTACACTCTCCAAATCCTCAAGCAGCAGTGGGCCAGGATTCAGCCTAAGATGAAAGAGCCCTGGGCCTCACCTATAGGAACACAGGGTCTTTCATGTTACTCAGTCATCATCACCACATCCACTCTCCTATGAAGAACCCCCCTTACAGAAAATCCTGATGGATTTAAAGCCTCTTTAAAAAACTCAACTATAGCAATAAAAATTTGCATTGTTTATACAAAGAAATTGCCTCAAAGACCTTGAATACTTATGGCCCATGCAAAACTCCTACAGCTGTTTTGCCAACAGTATGGAAACAATTACACATGATCTGTACCAGGAAACCAGGCTTAAATACTTCACCATTCTAGGAAGGCCTGATTATAGCTGATTAACGAAGATAATCATCTATAAAGTAATTCTTCTAGAATTCAGTGAAAAGATGCTGATTAACTAGCACACACACAAGTGTATGTAGCCATCTTTCTTCTTCGTGGCTACTCTATGAAGCTTGCATCTTTCTGAGAGTCATCAGGATATTGTTACCTTACTATCATCAGGATACTCTGAAACTGGTTTGAATTTTCATCTTTGAGGGATGATAGCAAAATCCACAGGTTACAGCAAAAACAGGCTGATATGTACAGCATTAGGGTACACGTTTGTTGAAATGAAACAAAGCCCATCCCTGAGCCATTTCCCTTGTTTTTCAAGACATCATAAACAAGAATACTAACACTCCAGAATGAGGCAGTGAAGGGCTGGACTGCATAATTTTGTGCATGTGATGTGCAGAAAGCCTACTTTTGGGGGCAAATGGAAATCCTTCCTTTGCAAAGCAAGGAAAACAGTTTTAACTACTAAAGGGCACATAAGTCAAATGCAACAAAAAAAGAAATCAGGTTAATGATCAAGTGAAGTGATTTCAGAGCGGGCATTTAAGGCCGCCTTACATATAAGAATTCCAGAGCTTCTATTTTTATCTAAATGTCACATTTACTCTCTTCAGCCCCCACAGGAATATCCCAGTTGGGTGCCTCCAGGGCTGGGTGAGTGGGTGAGATATCCCAGGATCCGGTGACAGTGAGCTGAGAAGCCAGGTGGGTGTAGCACAGGGCTGGGTGGTCCTGAAGCCGGAGGGCACGTGTTGGCCACCCACATCCTGAGAGACAGAGAAGTTCCAGGACAAAGCTTAAACCGCAACGGGTTGGCCACTTACGAAGGATCTGCACACATTCGCCCACTTCTTCCTGGTGGGGTGATCTGTCCCGGTTTGCCCTGGACAGAGGAGTTTCCCAGGATGCAGGGCTTGCAGGCTAAAACTGGGACAGTCTGGGGCAAACCTTCCCCTGAGGTTTGCTGGTATTTTAAGCAACAGGGTGTAAAGACAGAGAGGTGGAGACAGAAATGAATGCAGCTTTTAGCTAGCTTCCCTTGTCAGGAGTGACTCTAACAAAACAAGGGGCAGGGAAAGCGCTGGTTGGAGCAGGTTTCCAGGGACACACCAGGCAGCACCCCTGAACAACCAGTGTCCTCACTTTCCTTTCTGGTCAGCTGTGAGGCCTCAGTTAAAGAGCAGAGGCACTGCTTTTAGAGAATTTTCTTTTCTTTTACTACTTAGAGGTCTGACTGGTTAGTTTGTTGAAACTCATGGTGATGCGAAGACATGGAAAAATACTTATTAAAAAAATCAATGAAAAACTATGATCCCACTGTTCATGCTCTACAATTACTATATTTTAAAAGGATGCTTCAAACTTGGGAAAAGAATACATCAAAATACTAGCAGTTAAGGTAGTCAAAATATGGGCAATTTGTTTTAACTTGGCTATTTTCTAAGTTTTTGGGGTATGTTGGGATGCTTCCATAACGAAAAAATAATAAAAAGAACAATAACACTAAGAGGTTGGACACCTCAATTTGGCAAAAGATGGGTCTTTATTGGGGAATAATTTGTGCTAACTCAAGTATTACCAGCTCTCAGTTTTTTTTCATGGCAACTAGGTAAACAGCATAACTTTAGTTCAATCACAGATGATCTTAAAAACTCATTCCAGAATTCAAGCACTTACAAGAGATGGCACTAGGTGATCTGGATTACTAGCATCTCTCTCTCTCTCTTATTTTTTTTCAAAAGGAAGAGATGAGAAAATCATTTTTTTTTAATGTTCTTTACTTTTCAAAGTGTTTTCATGTACACATAGCTTTATTCACATCCAGCTTCACAGGGCGGGGATGAGAAGTATTACAAGGCCCGCCTCCACTTTACTGTAAAGGAAATCGTGACACAGGGAGGTGTCAGAATGCATTCTAGATCCCACACTTCCAAACTTCTTCCTAGAACGCCTTAAGAAAGGAGCTAAATTCCTGCGAACAGCAAGCATTTACTGACTCCCCACAGCTACATGTTTAAGTGCTACTCCAAGCCTTAGGAAACAGAGAGTTGGTAGAGAAGGAGACATAGTTCACATCTCCGGTTCAGAAACAATCTCATCTGTTTGTCCAAGTCTGGAGACATCTCTCGTTCCTCACTTTGGCTCTATGGACCAGGATGTGTGCAAGGACATTACTCAGCTGGCAACAGATGCCTCACTTCTGTTATAGGGACTGGCCCTCATTAAGCAGCTGTGGAACAGCATCAGCTCCCAAAGAAGAGAGATCTCTTAGCCCTCACTCCACCTGCAGCCCTTGCACAGTGCCTGACACCCCATGAGACGTATGGACACTTGTAGAGTATAGGCAATTGTGCTCTTTAAAGGCTTTCTGTAATGCTGTATAGTGACTGCCGTTTTGTTTGGCCCAGGTCCACTCCCCCTTCCCCTGGTAACTGTATCCCCATTCCCTCAATGGATACAGCCCTAGTGGAGGCTGGCGATCAGTGTTCTTCCTCCTCTATGCAAGGGATGAGCATGCGACCTAAGCTAGGGCACTCAAATGCTCTCTCCCTAGAATTTGGATTGTGGACAGAATGACACAGGGTTCCCTGATGAGTCTGCCCATTAGTTTTGCTACCTGGATCCCCAGAGTTTTCCCTGGTCCCTATCTTTCCTCACTCCAGTTCCTCAGTTTGTCCATGAATTCTGTGACATATCCTGTCTTCTGACCAGTTCTTTTCA